TGTTTATTGTATTTTTTTTTTGATAGTGAGATGAATGGAATTTCTTAATGTTTTTTTTTCCCTTTAAAAAATCTCTCTCAAATCGCCAACAATTTAATGCGATTTTTGTTAGCCTTTTGAACCCCACAAAAAAATGCCAAACACAATTTATCATTCGAATCCAATAGAACGAAGGAATTTCTCTCTGGGCCATCAATCAAATAGTCTTGAAAAATTTGTTGCTGTGTAGGGTTTTTTTCGTTGGTCCCTAGAATTTTCAGGGGTAACGAATTTTGCTTAAATTGCGAAAATTTAATAATCTAATAAAGCAAATTTTAACAAACTATTTAATGGCTGAATCCATCGTTACAGGAAGAGGCAAGTGCGGTAGAGTGGAAGAACGGCTGTGTGGCAGAAGTGGAGGCCATGATGTCTGGGCCTTAGGCAAAGCGTTTAAGCTCAAGTGGAGGCCAAGCAGCCGCGTTTAATGTCTGTGAAATTGAAAAATTTACTCTTTAATATGCGAACGGGTTGAGAGAGAGATGGCTGCCGGAAAGACTGACTCTGTGCAGCATGCCGCCAAATGATGTGGAAGCTGGTGCTGGTGCTGGAAGCTGCTTGGAAAGTGCAGTTAGAGCAATTTCACAACTCACTAACAATCATTAATGCGTCGGGTTTGTCCAGAAGAAGTCTGTGGCGCGTAAAAGGAAGTCCGTCTCTAATAAGCAGCCTCTCCCTCCTCGAAACTTAAATCATAAACAGCCTCCGACTTGGACTTGGACTCGGACTCCGATCTCGGTTGCTTTATGAAATGGAAAAATGTGCAGCAAAATGAAAAGAAAAACATTCATCCCATCCACAGAAAATAAAAAATATGCCCAAGGAAAAGTCTCTAGGAATAGCAATCGGGAAAGGAAGGGGGAACGAGAGAGAGAGAGAGAGAGGAATGGTTGATGGTTGATTGCCAGTTTGTTGTTTGGGATGTGATTGAGGCCTGCGGCTCAGTTTGAAGTTCATGTTGGAAGCGTTTGCTAAATCGACACGCAGCAAAGGATATAACGGGTGGGGGGGAAAAGCGCCATAAAAGAGGGGAGGAGGAGTGGCAAGAAAAGTGGCGACTGGGTGGAAAGCAGGGAGTGTAGGGAGAGAGAGCATAATGAAATCTATTCAATGAGGCACTCAACGAGGAGGGTTTGAAAAGTTTTTGAATGATTGAAAGCTACACCAAAAATTATCCATAGGTTGATTGCGAAATAAAAAAGAAACTAAGGGGAAATTTAAACGAAACTTTAGAGAAATTTTGGGAGAGATTTATCAGTTTAAAAGAAATTGAAAATAATAATTGAGACAGATTTTGCAGGTTTATGGAAGGAAGGAAAGGTTCATGTGAAATGGAAGGTATTTGGAATTGAAACAAAATGGGAATTAAGAAGAAGTGAAATGAACTTGAAAGACCGCATTGAATGTTTTTTCATCAAAAAACGAATGAACCGTTAGATATATCTACGAAAAATTCCAAACTCCCAACTACCACATTTGTGGCAAACCTCGTTGAATGGATCTGGCGCTTTAATGTTATATTAGAGACAGCGACAGCCAGCAGCTGAATATTTGATGACTGCCTGCCTGTTGCCGTATGAGCTGTAGGAGAAACCTCATACCTCCGCCGCTCTACGGCCAAAATGGATCGTAAATGTATCCCAAATTATAAGTCATATGAAACAATGACTGCTACTTAGTTATGAGCATAAAAAAGTAAGGGATAACCAAGGGAACGAATGGTTGGTGGATGGGGTATATGAGTATGAGCAGACCCTCCACAGTCGCGACTGCTGTCAAAGTCATTTTGGCGCATAATTTTTAGAGCCTTACCCTTCGTATAGCTCCCCCTCTCTCTCTCTCTCTCTCTCTCTCTCTCTCTCTCTTCGTTAACTGAAAACTCTTTGCGTCCTTCATATAACTTTTATAGTCTCTTGCTCTCTGTCCTTGTCTCTGTCGCTGTCTTTCTCTGTCGGTCGTTTGCTAAAATATTCTAATTGTTTTCAACAATTTCTGAATACACGGTGTACGCGCTCGGGTAGAGTGTCATAAATCTTTTTGCTGCCATACTGCAGGAAGAACCCTGGGGGAAGAAGAAGCTATTGATACACTTCCGAGTTAGTCTTTGATCTCAGCTAGAAGATATCGTCATTCCATGTTGATCAACAAATACATTAAATTGTTGCATTATTTGTTGTATATTCCTATAGTAGTATGATAATTCGTTATATTATTTACTCGTTAAATGATTACATATACTCATATATACCTTATTTTGCTAGCCAGTTTACTAGCGGGCAGTATGTATACTCACTGTAAAATACAGGGTGCTGCAAATAGAATAGTACTTTGAATATACACACCTTATTCCCATCGGAAAGGGTATATACTCGTAAAACGATGGCCCGAAAGCCACCGAAATGGCCAAGACAAATTTGCTTTAAAACTCGCCAATAAAAGTTAAGAGCGTCGTCCCAGAAGAAGAGTTCCTGCATCCTTCCAACCATCTACTATCGTACTTCTTTGGTCCACTCATCTAGAAGGATCTATGTGTATAAATAAAAGAAAAATTTTTAAATAAGAGAAAACTCATTTGAGACTGGTTTGCATGCTTAGGAATAGAAGTCGGGGGGGAATGTTTGTAAAGGAGCAGTAGACCCGGCGGAATGATTGAGTGGAATGCAGGAGAGTCGTAATTAAAATTTGTAGCTTCTTGGGTCGAGCATGCATTTTTTTTTTAAACACACACACAACAAATACCTTTATATACTCGTATTTATGTATATATTGAGATAGTTAAGATGCGCACCAGTACTCTTTCGATGGATGTCAAATCCTCCGCATTCTCATTGGGTTGATGTTTTATTACTCTAAAATTTTTGCAGATATCGTAAATTTTATATCAATTGTGGGAAGGGGTGGAAATTCTAATTGGGTTTTTAGCTTTTCTTGGCCATAAATTTTCGGTTTTATGGCATAAGGATGTGTGTCTTTTTTTTGTGCATTTATATGTGTTCTTTAGATACTTTGATATTCCAGCAATATCTGATGGATAGATAAGCCACATGTGCTTCGACAAAAACGTTAACAATGTCTTTTATGTGTTATTATTAATTTTATTATAAAAATTAAAAATAAGAGTTACTTCTGTATTAAATACTTAAAATCAGAAATGAATTTTTATTTCATAATTTCTCTTTTCGGCACGTCCGTTCTATTCACCATACTCAATCCAAAGATACATACTCTCATACTCTTACTTGTGATAACCTTTAAAATATCTTTTTCTTTCATCTAAGGGAAATGCTTACATATTTGTGTTCATGGGATTTTGCGTATTTAGATACTTCTCACCTTAGATAGAATATCTCAAAAGCATTCGCTTTCTTTCGATTAAATTAAAAAATTTCTCACCTTTTCACACATCTTCAGATACTACTCACATTAGATAAAATATCTGAAAGATACAAGCACGCCATGCAATAGCAGATTACTTGAATATTTCATTCATTCATGCCACCGTTCATTCCCATACATTCTGAAACATTCTCACATGATTACCGAAACTTAAGTTGGGCTATTCGTAAGATACTCCACAGGAGCAGCCTCCACACAAACACACACACCCACACATACCCACACACACAAGTATCCACCAGATACTTTGGGGCCATAACTTTGCACGAGTTCATTGCCAATTCGCATGCAACCTGCAGACACCCTCCGCTCCCGATCCCGCTGCCGCAGCCATTCATGTCTCGGCTACTTTATATCATTTTAATAATGTATCTGCTAGGTGGCTCTGGGTGCTCTGTATCTCCGTATCTACAGCCAACGAAAAAATAACAAAGAAAACAAGTTCAAAGTAGTTTGCACTCAATTTCAATATTTTACACACACAAAAAATTTACCAAGAGAATGGTTGGTGGAGCAGCAGCTGGCGGGAGACTTTTTGGCAAGACACCAAACACAATGTATCTCATAGATACGAGTACTACATGTGTTTTACAGATACATATTATGTATAAGCGTGTAGCCCCTCAGGAGTCAAAGTAGCTATCCATTCCATACCATTACATTCCATTCCCTTCCCTCCTCGTAACTAATATGAATAACTAATAAATCACATTTGGACGGTGATTTATGTGACAGGTGCGTATTGCGATTTGAAATTGGCAACAGTTTCGGTTTCAGTTTCAGTCTCCCATTTATCGTATCCGCAAATTGGCCAGAAGCATGTGAAATTTTTTTTTTTTTCATTTGCCAGATGTCATGCAAATATCGAATAATCCACGAAAATTGTACTTAAATATAGAGTAAAGAGTGGTATTTTTTGTGTTCATTTCTGGTCTTAGAGTTTGAGAATTACAAACATCAAAGTCGAAAAAAGTGACTAGATGTATAAAAATGTTATAAAAAGGTAGACTATTTTTTAAGGTATTCTGGAAAATTTCTTTCTGTTTTTTATTATTATAATTATTTTTATAATTCTTATTTTTTATTAAAAATAATTTTATAACAAAATTTAAATCATTGAATGTGTTACAATTTTATTTTAAATTTTAAAACATAAATAGCAATAGCAAATAACATAATAGCAATTTTTTATTTAAATAATAAAAAACAGAAATTTATTTGCATATCAAATTTTTTAATTATGATTTACATTCACAGAGAAAATGACAGACAACGACAACAAGTAAATCGAGCCATTACATCCGAGTCTATTCTTCTGGCATTCAAGTACTAGCCAAATTATTATAGGGAAATGAAGGAATATTTGTGAGAATGAAAATAATGAAAAATTGAAAGACAGCAAAGGAATAACTGTAGAGAAAAATATGAATAAATAGAGGCGAAACTAGGGAAAATAAAATGAAGCTGTGTAGACATATTAGGCATATCAATGACACATCCAGAAATACTAAGCGACCGATGGAAACTGCTGCATGACGCGGTTGCAATTGAAATAAAACAAAATCTTTTTAAAATTCATTAGCTTTTTATAAGCTGCTGCTGTTTTATATAGAAATATACAGTTTTACATATATTAATTTTCCAATAAAAGTGTTTCTTCCAATTTTCCGCATTGATGCGCTTTGGGGTTCAATATCATCTTCGGGGTGGTGTTCTCTTAAGATTGAACACAGCTCGTGTTCTCGGGCAGATCACAGATGCCCTTCAGTGCATTGAAGTATCTGTCACCGCAGCTGACCTTCAGAGCCCGCTGGTTACGGCAGATGTAATAGTCGTTGCAGCGTGTCGGCGATGCCATTAGGAAGCCATCGGGTTTTCCGACGCAGGACATCTGAAGTCCTTGTTCCTGCGATTTGGTGCCGATCGACTGCTGATAAGCGGCTACTTCCCAGAGAGGTCTTGCGTTGGGTCGTCGGATGGGATTACGGTTGGACTGAGACGAAGCGGCGACCTTTGAGCCAGAGACACCCGCACATCGAGTAGTAGTTTTCGTCGGGCAAATGGTGGTGGTTGTTGTCGGACAAGTGGTGGTTGTTGTTGTCGGACAAGTGGTCTTAGTCGTTGTCGTAGTTGTCGTTGTAGATTCACAGGTAGTCGTAGTCGTAGTTGTTGTTGTGGTCGTTGTCGTAGTTGTCGATTCACAGGTAGTCGTTGTAGTCGCAGTCGTAGTTGTTGTTGTGGTCGTAGTCGTTGTCGTAGTTGTCGTTGTAGTTGTAGGTAGTCGTTGTCGTAGTGGTTGTTGTTGTGGTCGGTAGTCGTTAGTCGTAGTTGTAGTTGTAGTTGTAGTCGTTGCAGTCGTAGTCGTAGTTGTTGTTGTGGTCGTAGTCGTTGTCGTAGTTGTCGTTGTAGATTCACAGGTAGTCGTTGTAGTCGTAGTCGGAGTTGTTGTTGTGGTCGTAGTCGTTGTCGTAGTTGTCGTTGTAGATTCACAGGTTGTCGTTGTAGTCGTAGTCGGAGTTGTTGTTGTGGTCGTAGTCGTTGTCGGAGTTGTTGTTGTGGTCGTAGTCGTTGTGTAGTTGGCGTTGTAGTTGTTGTAGGTAGTGGTTGTAGTCGTAGTCGGGTTGTTGTTGTTGTGGTGGTCGTTGTCGTTGTAGTAGTTGTTGTTGTGGTCGTAGTCGTTGTCGTAGTTGTCGTTGTAGATTCACAGGTAGTCGTTGTAGTCGTAGTCGGAGTTGTTGTTGTGGTCGTAGTCGTTGTCGTAGTTGTCGTTGTAGTTGTCGTTGTGGTCGTAGTCGTTGTCGTAGTTGTCGTTGTAGATTCACAGGTAGTCGTTGTAGTCGTAGTCGGAGTTGTTGTTGTGGTCGTAGTCGTTGTAGTTGGCGTTGTCGTTGTTGTTGTTGTGGTGGTCGTTGTCGTAGTTGTAGTTGTTGTTGTTGTTGTGGTCGTAGTCGTTGTCGTAGTTGTCGTTGTAGATTCACAGGTAGTCGTTGTAGTCGTAGTCGGAGTTGTTGTTGTGGTCGTAGTCGTTGTCGTAGTTGTCGTTGTGGTCGTAGTCGTTGTCGTAGTTGTCGTTGTAGATTCACAGGTAGTCGTTGTAGTCGTAGTCGGAGTTGTTGTTGTGGTCGTAGTCGTTGTCGTAGTTGTCGTTGTGGTCGTAGTCGTTGTCGTAGTTGTCGTTGTAGATTCACAGGTAGTCGTTGTAGTCGTAGTCGGAGTTGTTGTTGTGGTCGTAGTCGTTGTAGTTGGCGTTGTCGTTGTTGTAGTAGTGGTCGTTGTTGTTGTTGTGGTGGTCGTTGTCGTAGTTGTTGTTGTTGTGGTCGTAGTCGTTGGCGTAGTCGTTGTCGTAGTTGTCGTTGTCGATTCACAGGTAGTCGTTGTAGTCGTAGCTGTTGTTGTGGTCGTAGTCGTAGTCGTTGTAGTAGTCGTTGTAGTTGTCGTTGTAGTTGTCGTTGTCGATTCACAGGTAGTCGTTGTAGTCGTAGTCGGAGTTGTTGTTGTGGTCGTTGTAGTTGTAGTTGGCGTTGTCGTTGTCGTAGTAGTGGTCGTTGTCGTTGTTGTTGTTGTTGTGGTCGTAGTCGTTGTCGTAGTCGTAGTTGTTGTAGTTGTCGTTGTAGTTGTCGTTGTAGTTGTCGTTGTAGTTGTCGTTGTCGATTCACAGGTAGTCGTTGTAGTCGTAGTCGGAGTTGTTGTTGTGGTCGTTGTAGTTGTAGTTGGCGTTGTCGTTGTCGTTGTTGTAGTGGTGGTCGTTGTCGTTGTTGTTGTAGTGGTGGTCGTTGTCGTTGTGGTTGTAGTGGTGGTCGTTGTCGTTGTGGTTGTAGTGGTGGTCGTTGTCGTTGTAGTGGTTGTTGATGGGGTGCAAGTGGTGGTCGTTGTAGTTGTAGTTGGCGTTGTCGTTGTCGTTGTTGTAGTGGTGGTCGTTGTCGTTGTTGTTGTAGTGGTGGTCGTTGTCGTTGTGGTTGTAGTGGTTGTTGACGTAGTTTCATCCTCTTCAGAACATTTTGGCGTTGTTACTGTGGATGGAGGAGGCTTGGTGGCCGCACAAGGTGGGGGAGTTGTCGTTGCTGCTGCACATGGTGGCGGAGTTGTCGCTTGGCATGGCGCGGAAGCATCCCTAGCATTCCGGCCGAATGCCACTGGGTATGCGGACTCGTCTTGACCGTATAACCTATCCACACTAGCGCCACTGGCGCTGCTTGCAATTACTGCAACAAACAGCAGAGTTAAGGCTGCAAAAACGAAATGATTTTCATTAGTATTCGGACCTTCTGCTGCACTTTATACAGTGGCGACCATATACCATATATGTTCCGCATGATGACTGATGGTTTCACGGCTCACGATTCCCAGTTGCGGTTGAAGGTAGATCGAGGTACACTGTGATCATTGCTGGCACCTCCACCCACTATTTATACGATTCAAACATATCAATTACCGAAAAATTAAATTGATTTGGGTACATTCAGTCATTAGTAAAGTAGCAAACAAAATGTGCCTCAAAGATGTGACAGATAAGGAAACAAGATCTGACAAGATATTGCAGCCGTTGTTCTTATCACATCGACAATGTCTATAAAAGTTACTTTCCCGAAAAGACTGAAGACTGAACGAAAGCAAACTGTACTTCCGTTTCTTGTTGAACAGCTCCCGTTGTCTATTTATAGCTGGACAGCACGTGTATCATGTATGGTATCTCTTATTAAAATGATATTGTTTAAATTCTTTGATTCCCAGACAAAAGCTATACATTGTACATACTATGTAGGTAGGTCTTCTGAGGAAAGCGAAAGCGGTCGCAATCTTACATAATTTGCATTTTTTATACATATCTAATATCTATAATTTTATATTCAATGTTCTCTCAATCGGTAATGAATCGGTTATACGTTATAACAATATGAAATAGTTAATAATAAATAGATAAATAAATAAATAAATGATAAATAGTTAATAAATCGGTTAGCAACAAGTTTTGAATCGGTTATAAATTAGTTATCAATACGATGTGAATCGGCTATTAATCGGTAATGAATTTTGTATGTGTAAATTGGGTATAAATCGGCAACAAACCGGCTATGAATCTGATTTCAACAGCTTATGAATTGTTTATAAAATGGAGGAATCGGTTCAAAATAAAAAGATCTGACAATCGGTTCAAAAAGGTGAAAACACAACCTCAACAAAATATTAAAAAATGTAAATTTTTAGCTAAAGTGCAAGTGGTACCAACAAATATATACATACATACAGACCACAAATTGTTACTGTGCAGAACAGGATATAAGATAAGACACATATACAAGCGGCTTTCGAACTTAACATTTTTTGTGCCAGCTGCAGCTGTAAAGTTCACGCCTATAAAAATAGGATTTTTCTATTTACCTCCCAAAAACGCAGTACCTACATCTACTGCTTGTCTTTTCTTTCTATAACATTTGCATTTTTGCGATCTATATTCATTTAAAAAGACGCAGGAAAATATACCCATGCTTCGCAGTTGGGTGCTTAAAAATGGCCCATCGTTTATGGGATATTTTCAATAGCGAATGTCTCCCAGGATGGTATGAGGATATTTTTGTTCAAATAAAACAAAGGCTGACCACAAAAATTACGTATTTCTTTTGAAATTTTTGTTAATTTGTTGTACCACACAAAGGAGGCACAAAAATGATGATCGTCAAAGGTAGGATTGAATGGACCACACTTAACCACACTGTCCACAACTCTCCTGCAGCGGCGTTATTAGCCCTCACAGCAAAAACAAACATAGAACTGGTGGTAAGAACTGAAGTTTATCTGAGCCATCAGACAGGCCAGACGGGGAACGGTCTCCTCATTATGTAACCTCTCATAATTCTTTCATTAATGAAATTCCCACACGACGCATCGCACACATTATGTAAATCCTCATCTCCAAACAGAACCTGAAACCCACCACAGAAACCTGGCACCGAAAACCAGCACGATGCTTTTGGATGTTTCAGTTTGAGTCTTCATTTTGCGTTGGGCCTCCTTTTCCATCCTTGTCAACTAATTTCAGGGTTGCCTGTCATGTTCTTTAAGACTGTTTTAATTTTCATTCGTTTTTTTGTGAGCTCCTCTCTGGCTTTTACTTTCCTTTCGTTCGGGCCAAAAACCCAAATAAGAAGAAAACTACCTGTTCACAAAAAAAGAAGAAAAAAGAAACCCACACACACGGCAGAAACGGCAGCCAGGGAGCATATGAGTACGAAGCTTAAGCGAACTGTCGAGCGTTGCCAACGCCCCAGTGTGCACAGTGGTTCAACATAATTATGAATATTTTAGGGATAATAAGGATGCACTTTTTGGGGGTTCAATTTTTGCCAAACACTAAGTGCAACATTCTATAGTATGAGTTTCAATGGGAGAGAATGGTTTGTGCAGAGAAAGAGAGGCTGGGCCATGGGAAAATGTTTGTCCAAAGACAAATGAGTAACGGCCATACATTTTAATGGTACACGATTTTTTCGGCTTGGTTTTGAAAGTGGCTTCAGGCTCTCATAAATTGTCTTTGGTACATCCCAGATTGCTCTTTTGGATGTGGGCAAGCACTAAGAAAGGATTTTTTAAGGTGAACAAGAAATCTTAAAAATAAAAATTGTCTTTCAATTGAAAATATATCTAAAAAATAAAAAATAAATGATTAAAAAATACTCATATAAAATATATGTTATATCTTTCGCATTCTTCACCACTGTGCAGATACATTTATCTTTGTGACTCTTCCTCATTCTCTGTTCTGGCTTCTACAGGGTTCCTCCTACGTCTTTCCCCTGGCACCGGGTACCGTGGCTGGTTCTGGCCTGGCCCTGTTTTGCTGTGTGTCTCGTTGCTGTGCCGTGCCGTGCCGTGCCTGTGGTGGCTGCTTTTAAATACCCTTTACCTTGGCCATATTAATGCGGCTCCCACTGTTACTTGTCCCCCGTGTTGTTGCTGTTGTACTTCTCATGTAGTTTGGTTGTCATTTGGCAGCGCCCGCTGTTTAGTGTCCAACATGAGGGCCGTTGGTGTCAGGCGACGCTGCCTGCCACTGCCACTGCCTCTGAGAGATGCTGCAGAACCATGGCGGAAGGGGGCTGAATGTATATAGAGAGCTCTGGAGAGATGCCTCTGTCTCTGTCTCTGGGTATTGGTATTCCCGCCTTTGGTTTTTGGGATTCAGGTTCAGGAGGCGACAGTTGTTGAAATTAAATGCTCACATGTGGGTTTTTGTCTTCAAGAGAAGACAACAACAATTCAGAACAGAAAAAAAAAAGGAATACTAAAGAACACAGAACACAGGAATGGAGGGGGTAAAAAAGGTAACACAGGAGGCAACACACACAGAAGGGATTGGCCCCGAAAACAATAAATGCTGCTCCCAGTCCAAGTCTCAGTCTCAGGTCTAGGGGCGAGTGCCAAAACATACATATATGAACATACAATATATGTACGAGTATCTTTCAATAAATAAAGGAAAGAAGACGCTTTCATTTCTCTCTGTATTGGCTGTCCCAATAAAGCTTAAAGCAGGGATTGCACCGAGGGAAGTTTTTCATATTTGGAAATGTAAAACTTGAAAAATATCCACACACAGCTGTTGAAATTTTTCCAATATCTCCTCTAAAGTTGATCACTTTTGGGTACAAAAAGTTGTGAAAGGTTACGATTTTGATTTGGAAAATTAAAATCTGATTTTAGTGGACTTCCCACGAGTTATAAGTGAAGTCAATCCTTATCATCCACATTCTTAAGTTTTATTTAGTAATGTAATTTCACATTTCTAGCGCTATTTAGTCCACTTTTCTTGCTGTATGTGCACTCTTGTGTCAAAAATTAAACCAAAATTATGCAAAAGAATATAAAATCGAAAAATAGTTAACTTTAACTAATTGTTCAGTTATAAGGATGATACAAAAAAGAAAACATTTAAAAAGTTGCTTGCTATTCCTTTAAAACTCTTATAGCACAGCTCTCTCCCTCTCCACATCTCTGGTTCTGTGGTGACTTCCCCCAACTCCAGAATCAAATCAAAAGCAACTTTTATATGCTGTATTGCTGCCGATTCGGATGTTGCTGTTGATGTGAATGTGGATGTTGCCAGGGTCTTTACAATTCGGGGCCAGGCACTTCATTTGCTCCGCTCTTCGACTTCGACTTCCACTTGGACTTGGATTTCTTCTTCAAGTTTCTTCTACTCCTCCACCTCCACCTCCATCTCCTCCTCCAACTTCTTTGGGTTGTCTTCTGGTTCTGCTGCATTTATGGCTGCATTTACTTTTTAATTTCATTTGCTGTTGTTGCGGCTCTCTGTTGTTGCCATTGCCGTTGCTGTTGCACTCCTTTTTCGATTTCAAGTGGAGTCAATTTCTTATGTCATGACAACATACATACTTCAATATACACACAAAATGTATCTTCGGAGTGTGGGGCACAACTTGAAGCTCAAGTCAAAATAAAAGAAGAGAAAAAACACAGCAGTAACGGGAGTCGAGGGTTTAATACCCTGCAAGAATATAGAATTTTCTGCTCGTTAGTACTTTTTCGGGAGCGGATTATTATGATATATAACCAGATTAAAGAAAGCATTTTCGCGTGGCTCTTGACCAATGAAGAATAGCAGTGGAAGTGCAATTGGAGGTTCACGGGAATCCGCATATCTAGGAACATAAATGATCTATGGGCAGGAGAGGAGCGGATGGTGGGCTGGCTCCTCTCTTCCTGGATTTTATTTACTAGCCTGCTGATACATGTTAGCCTCTGTTAATTCTGATCAAAAATATAGTTCATATACAGTTTTAAAGGATTCCGTCTGCAATTCAAGCCTCGAAATCATCATAGCCCTTTCATAGGGTATTCAAAAAACATAAGATGCCAGACGGCAGCATTTTTGTTGTTGTTGTTGTTGTTGTTGTTATTGGATCCACGTCGCATCGCAAGTTGTCGCCTTTCTGGAGTATAAGGTAGAATTTTTCGGTGTCTGCTCGCTTGCCTGCCCTGCGCTTGCCTGCCATTTGTGCCTAAATATCTTTACTTATTTTTGGACATACTTGATTGAAGTATTTATGAGATTTCAGGCATTTGTGTAATTTCCCTTTGAGCTTTAAGTTACTTTGGAGTTGTCTCTCGTTTTTTTGCCCCATCAAAATGTTCACAAGATTCGGCAGCCAAACAAAACAAAAAAAAGAGTTAAATGTAGGAACTACAGGCAATATATGTATATTTACATATGCATGTCGGTTCTCTCTCTCTCTTCGGTCCATGTTTGTCAGATGAAAAGATATGTCTTAACATGTTTTAATTTTCTTGGAAATTGTTGTTCAAGTCGAATCCGAAAACCCCAAAACACTTTACCACACGGGCAATACGGATACGGAGGAGACACAGACAG